TAGTATAGTTATAGATAAAGTTTAGTGTTTGGCAGTGAAGGGGCTTGAAAACTAATAGAAGAATTGTAAAATCCATTCCTTAAGGAGCAGGCAGCCAGTGTAAGGACGTTAGAACAGGACTAATGGAAGCTCTCCCTCTGGTCTCTGTCAGCACTCTTGTTGCTGAAATCTGAATTAACTGGAGCTCATCTATTGCACTAAGAAGAACATCACAGTAGTCCAGCTTGCTAGTTATAAAAGCAGGAATCACTCTCTAAGAGCTGGTGAAGATTCTCAGTCATCCGGGTAAATTCAAAAACGTTCAAGACAAAAAAAACTTTTAAGTAGCAGAAGACGTTCCGCTTCTCCTCTGAGAAGCTCTCTCAATTAGCAGAGCGTGTGGGGTTCAGAGATAAGATACGCATACATATGTAGATATCACACCTCAAGCCTCACAGTAGGGGTTTGTTAAGGTCTTTGTTAATCTAATTCACAGATGAGAACCTCTGGTCCCATCTGATAGGTGTGAAAATTGACTGGGTATCAGTCCTACAGCTGCATAATAAGTTTTTGAAAGTTGAAATCTGAGGCTTCTTCCTCTGTTTACAGATGGTTTCTCTCTTTTTACATAGAAGGAAGGAAGCCATCTATGTGTAGCCATCTGCTGCACCTCTTGTCTTGTGTTGAAAACACATTTAAAAATCAAGATTTTACTGACGGTTTTAAAGGCGTATCATCAGCTGGGAGATAATGATTGTATGTTAAAAAGAACCAGGATATGTTTTATTCATTTACTGCCAATGTAAAGTCGGATCTTTTTCTTAAAGTTTTAGAAGCGTAACTTGTGACCACAGCTGATGAGTGGATGTCGCCGTCGTTCAAACAGTTGCTATAACTGCTGAACTGAGACAGGCAGACTGCTCTGATGTATAAATCTTGCAGAAAAATGAGGAATCAATGAAAACTGAATGAGCTTTAAGTCTAAACTGCCTGAACCATGAATGTTCAGCATCGAACCCCATAAACTCCTGGTTGTTCTTACCACACCTGGAATATTGTCCAGTTTGTTGCGGAGCTCCTCGTTCTCCTGCTGCAGAGACAACACCTCCTGCTCCAGCTCCAGGCACCGCGGACAGCAGCTCTCCTCCTCCTCCTCCTCGGGTAGCGTGGACGACGGGTGGCCGTATGAATCTGACGGAGCTGGGGAGCCCCACCTTCCCAGGTTGTGCCTCGATGGAGACCCCCCCGAACCAGGCTCTGCTGGCGGACACAGCTCGCCTTCGAGGCCCGCGGTCACATGTTGCTGCCGGGTCCCTGAAAGCAGGTAGTTCTGCAGGGAGTCTGTGAAGATGCGGAGAACTGCAGAGGTCTGCTGTTGGTTTAAATGGCTTCGCCGGACCTCTTCTTCGGGGTCGGTGGTGGAGGAGCTCTCCTCAGACTTCAGTTTCGCCTGCGAGGAGCAGTGAAGGCCCTGAATGTCGTTTCGTCCTGCTTCCAGCTTGACGTTAGAGGAGAGGGAGGAGGATCGGGTCTCCAGGAGGCGGCCATTATTAAGGAGGTTAAGGACTCTGCTGCACTGCTGGGCGAAGGCGTCCAGGATGAGGCGGTTCTCTGAAGAAACATTAGATCATTATGATCAGAGAGCTCTCTTCAAAACACACAGACTTTTATTTAAAGGCAACTTCTTATCTTATTTTCTCCTTTGAGGTAATATTGACTTCAGCTGACAAATGTGCAATCCTTTAAGTTTAGTGAGAAAGGGCCACATTTTACTGTCATGTTCTTGCCAAACGTTCCAGCATCCAGCGAACTGTCTGTTCAGAGAAATGTCAGCACATTTATGCTGATTTATTCAGAAGTCAATAAACTCTAAGGTCACAGTATCTGCTGAAGACAATAAGCACACAGTTATTGTCCAGAAACAAGCGTCCGTGCACATTTTCCCCGGTAGTCTGGGCACGTTTCGGTGAAATGATCTCACACCTTCGATGTAATGATTATGAGTCCACGATATCTGCAAACAGAAACACACAAATGACACAAAACGAGTTCTAGGCGGCCGTTTCTGTGTTGCCACCCGCTCAGACGTGTCTATCAGCCTGGCGCAGATGTGTCGCATTTATTAATATGCGCTCTGTCTCTGTTTACCCGTCAAGATGTATCTGATATCATTCGCCCTCGTCCTGCACACCTCCCCCACCTCTCCTCTCCTCCAATTCTGTGGCACCGGGAAGCTGTGAGCCTCATAAAATTTCATTAAAAACAACACGGTCGGTGGAGGCAAATTTATGAGGCCCATTTATTTTAATCACAACTCTTTGGGAAAGGCTTTTCGATGCAATTTGCGTTGTGTGCTGCTGAACGGATTGCTGAGTTCCACGATTGTTGCTCTTCATCAGAAAAGGACACACTTTCTTTGTTGTTGGTTTCCCCGTAAGAGACAGAAAGTGTTCTCTTCGTGCAGAAAACGGCACTCTGATGTGTCATTTTTGACACATGGGATGGCACATTTAACTCAAACAGGATGCTGATCTTGGTGTGACATGCAAAGATTAAAGGTTATGTGACAATATTAAATGATAGATCACATGCATAACCTAAATGCATGGGTAAAAGGCCGGTACTCAAACCATCTTAAGATAGTGGTTCCCTTTCCTTCCCTCATTCTTTTCAGAGCGTTCCAGACTTCACCCTCGCTAATCTTTCCCACTTCCTGGTCCACAGTTTATTTACTTTTTTAAATTTAACCTTTATTTTACCAGGATAAGAAAAAACATTGAGATTAAAAACCTGCAGTATAAATGTAGGCTGACAGGAGTCAAAGCAGTGCCTTGTAAATAAAAGTTAACCAATGACTTGTTTATGACCTCTACTCTTCTTTCTCTTTCGTTCATTAGCTCCTCAAAGTTCTAATTCCATCTTCTCGTCACACTCTCCTCACTGGTTAGAACATTATCATTCCCATCTTTAACAAGCCTAACCTGCTGCACATCCTTTCCAGCCTGATCCTTCTCTCTTGCCAATCGGTACAAGAAGATATATAGTGGCAATTTTAAAATAAAGATTTACACCAGACGCAGCGGTTTATGTGAAGTTATGAAGCATGTTTTCTCATAGCTGTCTGCAGAGAGCAAACACATCAGATTAAAAGGACACACTGTCTAATGTTTAATTTACAAATGACCAGGATAAGGTTCACCACTTCCATCTACCGTACATGTTGGTTCCCATGGACCCACCCTGCACATGATGAGGAACACATTGCTCTCTGAACAAGGCCCACTAATGAAGAGCAGCCGAGGAGGGAAACATGAGCGAACAACGTGGTTCAACAGATGAACCACATCACACCCGTACACACACACGCACACACGCACACACACACACACACACACACACACACACACACACACACACACACAGCAAGTGTAATTTAGAGCACATAAACTGAAGATTCAATCATGACTGCTCTCATGAGGAAATCAATCAGTGCTGATGGGAAGAACAAAGAAAGAAATGGGGACAAAAACATGAAGGAGTGAAAGTGGAGCAGCAAAAAAAATAAAAGCTTTTTGTTTTTACTTTGTTGTTTATTTTTGACGCGTCTTTTGAATCTGAACATTTTCATTATTTCTCACCTAAAGACCTGCGTGGCCCCTCTGATCACTCTCTGGTTAAGTTGGACACCCACCTGTGCTGATTCCGTAGATGCAGTCTGGAGAGGCGCGCGGCAGCTGAGACGCGGCGGCGGCGCAGGTGGAGGTCGGCACCCTGCTGCTGGGCCTGCTCTCACAGGGGAGGCGATGCTGCTGCAGCTGGGGTGCCTGGCGGGGCTGCGGGCTGCTGCTGGTAGCTACGCTGCTTTGGTGGAGCTGCTGCAGCCGCGGGTGGTGGTGATGGTGCTGGAAAGGATGCGGCTCGGGACGGAAGGTGAAAGCATCTCCGAACCGAGGCGGCTCGGCCGCGGCGGAGCGCGACTTCCCCGCGGAGCGCTTGCTCTGGAAAGGTTTCAGGGTGCTGCACGGACCCCGTTGTTGTCGACACATGATCTTCGGGGCGCAGGGCCCCTCGTCTGCGGGCTGCATCTCTCCCTCCATGCCGGCCGGGTGGTGTGACGGCGCGGCGGGCGGGGGTCGGTGGGTTCTGGGCTGGTGGTGACAGACAGCTGATGAGAGCCGACCATCCACTGTCTGGCTCAGTTTCACTCACACACTCTCACCTCTCCTCACCCCCACCGCGCACACACGCACGCACACGGCGTAGAGGGTGGGCTCAGTCACTGACAGGTCTCCGCTCCAATCCACAACCGAGACTCCTGCAGAGGGAGTCGCGCGCCGGGCGGGACTTCACCTCCCTCCTCCCGGGATCACAGCCACCGTATAAAACTAACTAATAACCAGAAAAACAATGGCACTGTGCTTTAAACAAAAGCTCAAAACTAACAACATTTTATAGAATAAATAAATACGTTTACAAAAAATCTGTACAGCTACCTCAGTCAAGTCAAGTCACATTTATTTATAAAGCACATTTAAAACAGTAACTGTTATCAAAGTGCTTACCAAAAAAGATCACAGCATCAAATATTATTAACAGCATATTACAGCAACATGAATAAAAGCATAAAAACATTAAATATAATGAGAAACAATGAAATACCAAATGAGATCACACTGCGTTAAATGCCAATGAGTACAGATGTGTTTTGAGAAGAGATTTAAAAATAGAGACTGAGGTGGCCTGTCGAATGTTGATGGGCAGATTATTCCAGAGTTTAGGGCCCATGACTGAAAACGCCCAGCAAGAAGGTTGCCAGATCGACCCCGGAGGGAGCCTTTCCACACGTGAAGTTTGCATGTTCTCTCCGTGCAGGCGTGACTTGTCTGCAGTCCAAAGCTATAGCTGCTTCCCACAGACCAAAGACATGCACATTAGGCTGATTCTGTTTCTTTTAGCTGTTCCTTCTTCAGATGTCTCCACAGCGAGTCATCCTCCTCCGTCCTCCGTCCTCTGTCATCCTCCCCCGTACTCCGTCCTCTGTCCTCACCCCAACTACCTCCATGTCCTATATCTGCATCTTACGTCTCCTCTTTTATATTGTTCTTGCTCTGCATAACATCCCCTCCTCTGGACATGTCCAAAGTAACCATCTCAGTCTGGCCTCTCTAATTTTATGGTGTTGCTGATTGGTAATAGGTGCGAGTGAGAGAGTGAACGTTCTTTGTCTTGTTTGTCCTTGTGATGGACTGGAGACCTGTCCAGGGCGTCCCTCGCCTCTTGCGCAGTAACTGCTGCGAGTATCAGTGAGTCATGTGATCCAAAAAGGAAAATTGAGTCATAATAATGGATGGATGTGTTACTGAGCACTTCTCCTTTGCCAAGATAATCCATCACAGGTGTGACATATCAAGGTGCTCATTAGACAGCATGATTGTTACACAGGTGTGCCTTAGGCTGGCCACTATGAAATCTGTGGTTTTATCGCACAGAGGTGTTGCAAGTTTTGAGGGAGCGTGCAACTGGCTAACTGCAGGAATCTCCATGTTCAGAGAATTTGGCAGAACATCCAACCTGTTTGTTGTCCATATATGCCCATACCATAACCACGCCACCACCATGGGCCACTCGATTCACAACATCAGCAAACTGCTCACGCACACAGCTCCATACACGCAGTCTGCCGTCTGCCTTCACAGTGAAAACAGGGATTCATCCATGAAGAGAACACCTCTCCAACATGCCATACGCCATCCAGTGTGAGCCTTTGCCCTCTCAAGATGGTTACGACGACAAACTGCAGCAGGTGAGGACCTCGAGGATGACGAGCATGCAGATGAGCTTCCCTGAGACGATTTCTGAGAGTTTGTGCAGAAACTTGTTGGTTATGCAAACTGATTGTTGCAGCAGCTGTACGGGTGGCTGCTCTCAGACGATGGAGGTGAAGATGTTTGATGTGGAGGTGCTGGGCTGCTGTGGTTACTTGGGGTCTGCGATTACTCCCTGAACATGGATATTCCTGCAGTCAGCAACTGCGCGCTCGATCAAGACTTCCAGCATCTGTGGCATTGTGGCGATAAAACTGCATAGAGGATTTTAGAGTAGCCTTTTATTGTGGTCAGCCTATACAGCTCACCTGTGCAATCATCATGATGTCTAATGTGCATCTTGACATACCACACCTGTGAGGTGGATGGATTATCTCGGCAGAGAGAAGTACTCACTAACACAGATTCACTCCAAATTTGTGAACAATATTTGAGAGGAAAGTATTACCTGACCAAACACATTTTACTCTGGCAACCAACAAATCTACAACAATTCTGTACAATATATCACCAACAATAAAAACAGTTCCAGTAATTAACACAAAATCATTTAGGCCTACAGTGTCAGTAAAACAACATTTATAAGGTTGTAGTAGTAGTGATCAGCTGTTTGAGACTAAATGTTGACCGAAAGGCCGCAGGCTAATAGTTTGTAACCACCAGGGGGCGCTGCTGCAACGCGTTTTAAACTGGAGGGCTCAGATATTTTTGACTGTGACAGTGACAATAACTACAGAGTAACATAATGATCAAAGAGAGACACAAATGAAAGAAGTAAAAGGTTAAGAAAGGGAGTCAAAAATATACATAATGATTTAAATTTGCAGGCGAGCTCAATAAGAGACTTATGACCACAGGTACATGGAGCTAAAAACAAAATCTTAACACGAATGACAACCACAAACTTACAAAGGTAAACACAAGCTCACATGATGCTGCATTCTTGGTTTGGATAAATAAGAAGTGGGCATCAATGTCCAACTATAACCCACAAAATAAGCAACTATTAAAAAAAACGCAACAAAGGAAATATAATATTTATAGTAGTGCTGTATGAATGGGTAAATGAGGACACAGATTGTGTAAAACACTTTGAGTATCTTGATCAGATAGAAAGGTGCTATACAAGTACAGTCCACATGCAGCACATTATTTTAATTTCAATTACTGTGATGTTTTAAAAACAAGCTGTGTTTTTTTTGCACAGTCACTTTTAAACTACGTTAAAGTTTTATTTTATTATTTGGTCACAGCAACTTAAAAAAATGAACAAAACACGAGCTCCAGTTTGAATTGTTACCCAGTTTATAGCGGCGCAGAGTCCAAATGTTGATTCAGCGATCAAACACTGCTTCAGCTCATTTTGGCTATTTTAACTCTTCATCATAAAATGTTGGGCTTTATCCACTGTGCTGTGGCTTTTTACATTAGTAACTTTTATACTTTTTGCATTATTTAACTTTAAATGTTCATATATAAACACATTGAAATCTCTTAAATTTCTTCAAAAAGCTTTAGTTAATTTTAGCTTTTTTATTGTTTCCTAATTTTAGCATTTTGACACGATTTTACTATTCATTCATTCATTCAACCGTTATTTATACAAGTTAGTCTCACTGAGTCACGATGACTCATTTTCAAGAGATCCTGTGACCCTAATAGCTTTATATTTAGCTCTCTTATAGTTTTTAGCTACATTTAGTTTTAGCTAATGCTTTTTCAAATTTTAGTTAAGCTAAATTTTTGTTATTTTATCTTTTAGCTAGCTACATTTTTTGTAGATTTAGTTTTCACAATGGTTTGTTACAATTAGCTTTTAGCTTCTGTGTGGCTAATTGTATAGATATGGTTTTGCTCATTTTAGCTTGTTGCTAGCTACTGTTTTGATAGTTTTAGCTTGTGCAATGGTTTTGCTACTTTTAGCTTTAAGCTTGCCTACTCCGGTGCTTTTTTTGTTGCTTTTCTTTATTTTTCTCATTTGAGTATGTAGGTTTTGCAGATTTTAGCTACCTGGGCTTATACTTTAGCTTCTGTTCAGCTTGTTTTGATTGGACAGTTCAGTGGAAACTTCATTCTTCAGCAGCTTTCAGCAGACGTTCAGCTCTCAGCTGTGTTTTCACAGTTTTAGCTAGTTGGGCTCAGAGCAGCTGAACCTGCTTCAGCGACAAGTTTCATCTTTCAGCTCCGCAGCTGGAACGCGTGACCGCGCACGCTCTTGTCGTGCGCGCGTCCGAACCCACCACCACCACCCCTGATTGACAAAAGCAGCCAAACTCCAGCTCGGTCTGTATCAGGAGGGTCGCGGGAGCTCTGATGAGACTGAAGAGAACCCGGAGCAGGTCGGTCTCTCTGCTGGTCCTCCGGCTCAGTTCGGGACCAGAACCCCCTTCAGTGATGAGACTTTAAAAACTTTTGATCCGTTCTAGATTTGGACTTGCTGCTGACCCTCAAAGCGTTCAGGGGGGGCTGGAAAGATGCGTGTCCACCTCAGATCTGTGTCCCGGAGCTGAAGGACTCGGGCCGGGATGGTGCGCCTCCTGGGCTGCCTGCTGCTGGGGTACCTGACCTGGAACCTGCGGATCTCGGACGCTCAGGGAGAGTACTGCCACGGCTGGCTGGACGCCAATGGGAACTATCACGAGGGCTTCCAGTGTCCGGAGGACTTCGACACCGCGGACGCCACGGTGTGCTGCGGCTCGTGCGCGCTGCGCTACTGCTGCGCGGCCGCGGACGCGCGGGTGGACCAGGGCGTCTGCACCAACGACAGGGAGGTGGACAACACCGAGTATGCTGCGCGTGAGTTCACACTTTGGAAGCGTTCAATTCATATTTATGTGATGCAAAACTCAACTCAATTCAAAATAAAACGCAAAAAGTGCACAGTGTGAATAACGTGCACGTTTTTAAAGTCAATCCAGCACAGTGAGAGTGAAGATCTGAGAGGTCAGAGGTCAGCTGGATGTTCATGAGACATTAAATGGTTGTGTTGGAAGAAAATAAAGTGCATGTTGTGTTGCAGGAATTCAAACTTCATTCTGATTTTCTCTTGTGTTGCCAAATATATTTTTTAAATTGGCTGTTCAAGTTGGATTCGGTTTAAAAGTTGTGTTTTCAGCATCATCTGTGCCGAGGGTCCAGTTTCCTCCACATGCTTTTATCTCGGTTCCAGAGGAGTCGTCTTACCTGCAGCACGCTCCAGATTTTGATCAGAACATGAGTTTAGAGTGGTCCTGCAGATTCATCTCCTTGCTGTTTTCAGAATAAATCGTCATTATTATTTAAAAGAAATGATAAAACGTGAAAAAGTGCAGATAAGTTACAGTTGAATGTTTGGAGTTCAATCCTCACAGAAGCCTTTTGTGCTGCCAAACATGAAGCACGTTCACTTTGACGGCTCCTTGTAATCATAACATTGTTGCATACGGCGCCAAGGAGTTGGTTAAACGCACTGCGTGTTAGAGGTTTTTAATAACCGGCTGCTTTAACCCCCTGAGGTTTTATCCGTTTGCTTTAAATTTCCCAAACGGATACGATTTTAAAAGCCTGACCGAACCGTGAGCTCACAACTTCCTGTTTGTCTCCGTTAAAATAAACATTCCTGAGCACAAACAGGCCTCATAAAACGCAACATGAGGCGTTCGTGTGTTCAGGAGGGCTGCTTGCTCAGAACGCTTTCATGGATTTAAATAAAAAAAAAGTATATTTGAAACATTTTAGTTGGATAATTATTGTTACAGAAACAGGTTGAAAGGTTTAAACATTAATTTTCCACAAAGTTGCAAAATTTAACCCCGATATCTGTCGAGGCTCATCGTGATCAACATCTTGGTCAACTTTTGAAAGTTGGTTCAAATCTGCGCAAATATTTTTCTTAACAAATGGACCCACAAGTGAACACACGCAGGCGATTACATGATCGCCCAGCTTTCATGGCGGGAGATGATAAATTCACGTCCAGGTTTACTCGTTAACTCCTGCCAATGAAGAAAACGGGGACAAAAATCATTTGTCTTTTTTATACAAGTCGTTATTGTTTTTAAGAAATGAAGAACAAAAAATGTTTTTCTTGAAACCTAAATAATTCTGAGATTAATTTTAGTTGTAAAAAAAAAAAAAAACGCCATTAAGGCTCCAAAGTATCAAAAAATAATGGTTAAAATTAGTCTCAGAGCAAAATAATAATGAGGCCATGACTGAATCTGCTTTGAAAACATTTAAATTTTATTTAATTTCTCATGGATTAATTATTAATAAATAGTTGAATTGAACATTAATCCAACTTTTTTATCAATTCAGTCTTTTGCGTGTCCACCTCATGTTTTCTTTCCCAACACAAAAGTAATCAACTGTCATTAACTGGGTTGTGACTCCTCCTCAGAGCCCGTCTACGTCCCCTTCCTGATGGTGGGGAGCATCTTCGTGGCCTTCGTCGTGGTCGGCTCTCTGGTGGCCGTGTACTGCTGCACCTGCCTGCGGCCCAAGCAGCCCACCCAGCAGCCCATCCGCTTCTCGCTGCGCAGCTGCCAGGGCGAGACCATCCCCATGATCCTCACCGCGGCACCGCCGAGCCTGCGCGCCCCCTCCCGGCAGTCCAGCACGGCCACCACCAGCTCCAGCTCGGCCGGCGGGGGCAGCTCCACCAGGAGGTTTTCTCTGGGAGGTCAGCAGCAGCACGGCTGCCTGGTCTCTGCCACCGTCTCCTCCTCAGCCTCCACTCCCACCCAGACCCCACAGACTCTCCTGCCGCCACCGCCTCCCCCCTACGCATCCCCGCCACCACCCATGACGGGAGGCATCCAGCACCCGCAGCTGCACCAGCCCCCTCACCCCACCCAGAGCACCAGTTTCCTGCTGCCCCAGCAGTACTTCTTCCCCCTGCAGCCCGACGCTTTCACAGCAGCTAAGGGCTTTGCTGACTTTGGACAGGGCTTCCAGCAGGAGGGGGGCAGGGGGACGTGACCCGGGGGGAGGACAAACGCGGCAATGCAGCTCGGGGAGAGAAAGGCTTGGTGCAGGTGTGGTGGAATCATGATGGAGCTGCCAGCGTGAGAGCTTCCCAACAGGCCTGTCGGCGGCCATTTTTAAACTGTATGCACTTTTCTGTTAGCAGGATTCTGGATGGAAGCTCAGACTGAAATATTGTCAAATTATTACCCATCTTAATAAAAACAAGAGGAGACCGTTTATTATTTGACTGTTTGGCAAAAAGTGTGCACGCTGGGTGAGTGGGGTCCTTCATGATGCAGGTGGTCCTCCTCCTGCATCTGGAGACTGTTTATTATTAGACAGTGAAAACAGGAGGTTTTGACATCAGATAGAACCTCTTAAAAATACAATGTGTAAAATATACAGCATGTTTGAGTTAAAGCCTAACATTGATTCCCTGATTCAAATAAAAGTTGACTCTTGTAACTTGTGTGGACTCGTCCGAGCGGAGTTTGTTCAAAGAGCATAAAAAAGGCGCCTCATCGTCACTCGGACAGAAAGGAAACCGGAGCGGCGGTGCGGGTTCATCCCTGCAGTCTACCTGTTGCTTTTTCCTGCGCCAGACTTCCCAGCAGGAATGCAGCGCTGAGATCAGTCATTGTTGGTGTTCGATGAGCGTGGCGTGGTCACAGTGTTCAAACCAACTCCCTGCAGAAAACGCAGGTTTAGGTTGCAGCGGCAGGTGAAGGAAAAGCCCCGACAAAGACCGCTCTGTATCCTGGTTACCTGACTGGGAAATCGTCAGTTCGAGGATGTTTTCAAGGTTCTTCATTGTCATGAAACAGTATACAAGGATCTAAGATATACGCTAAACAATAATACTAGTGTAATATGATATAGTGTGTTAAACAGCAGCCTGAACATGAGTTTGTTGTGAGCAGATGGGTATGAATATAGCAGCGTATGGGTAAGAAATTGGCAGCACGGATAATCAGCAGTACAGAGAAAGTGTCAAATCTTCAATTAAAGTGTCATTGCTAGGCCTGTCACGATCAATTTTGCTGGGCGATTAATTGTCTCAGAAATTATTGTTTGAAATGTATCAATAATTGTCAAATTTTAGACGAAATGTTGATTTGTTTGGAGTGTAGTACCTTTTTTGACCACCTGATGGTAGTATAAAACAGTTTGAACCAAAGGATAGATAGTGGAGCAGCGTGCCTCTTTAAGAAAAACGGGAAGGAGGGCCCTTTTGACTTGGGCTGACATGGTGGACGCCGGTGATTTGAGCTTTTTAGCATAGCATTTCTCTCAGTTTTTAATTAAAAAAAAAAAATCAGTAAGCAAGTTTTCAGCTTCTTTTTGCAGAGAAAAACAACTTTTTACACGAAGGCACGAGTTTCAACCATGAATTTTGAATCTCGACAAGACAGGGGTTTATTCCCGAGGTTGGCCTGTTAGCTTAGCTGCTTTTAGCAATCCAAAAACGCGATTTTGGACAGTTAAAACAGATTTTAAAGAGAAATGGAGGGATCAGTGAAGAGCACCGAAGTTGAGCCTCGTCTTCAGTAGAGAGACACGAAGAAACAATAAAGCCGATAAATGAAAATGAGGTTGATCTTTTTTTATTTATCATGCGATTAATTGATTTATTGTTTATCGCGACAGGCCTAGGTATTGCAGTGATTTGTCTGGTTAGGGATTCACGAGTCCAACAGCTCCAGGGTAGAAGCTGTTCCTCAGTCTAGAGGTTAATGCTGCACAACCTCCTGCCTGAGGGGAGCGGGGCAAAAAGTGTTAGTGCTGGGTGAGTGGGGTCCTTCATGATGCAAGTGGCCCTCCCCCTGCATCTGGAGGTGTAGATGTTTGTGATGGTGGGGAGGCTGACTCCAACAGTCTGTGCAGAGCTTTTCTTTCTGCAGCTGTGCTGCCTCCACATGTTGATGCTGGAGCACAGGATACTCTCCACTGCACATCTGTAGGGGGTGAGGACTGAGCTTCCCAGTCCTCGCCTCAGCCTCCTGAGGAAGTAGTCTCTGATGTGCTTTCTTGATCAAACTGGTAGTGTTGTGTTTTGTGCCAGTCAAGAGATGTGCACTTTAATACAGCTGACACCATAAAATGCAGCAACACATTCCACATCTGGCTCACGGATGAAAACCACAAGTGAACACATTTTATGACGTCATAATGGTTTGGAAAGTGAAAACATGTCTTTGTCAGGATTTATTTTACCTTTCAGTAGGATCCTGATTATCCTTTCTCCTTAGTTTATATTGAAGAGGGGTTTATAAATTTTGCTTCTTCTAAACCTTTGTCCAAACTTCTGAGAAAACCACAGGACCCTGTATTTACACTGATGAGATCAAGAACACGTCCCAGTTGTAATTCCTCAAGATTTTCATGTAATCAAACTCTCTTGTTGTGGTCATCTTTTCAGCACAGTCCTGGGAAACGATGTATTCATTGCCGTGGTTCAGAATAACCACAATCATTTATTCAAATTATGTCAAAAGGAGGGGGGGGGGGGGGATAAAAAGCTGTTACATTGTGTATGTTTTTGATGTGGATCAGCTTTAGGTTTCTCAGGAAGTCTTGGGACAAGAAGAGGCCAGCAGTAAACAGCAACAGTGACTTCTCTTTATTAAAACAGCGTGGGTTTGTTTGGCTGAACTGTAATCAGATACATCACGTGCTCTTCTCTTTTCTGAAAATGCAGCCGCTCATCAAGTGAGCGTTGAGGCAATAAATCATTTTTGAGGTCGTCGCCGGTGGCCACAGCAACCACAACCGAAACCTTAACTTTAAAAAAAAAAAAAAAAAAACGGTTTTACTTTTTGTTTTGTGTAAAAGCAGTTCGTTTTTTCACATTCTTATTTAATCTGCACAATAACTGGTCATATTAACCAAAATATTCTGTTACAAAAAAATAAAAATAAAATAGATGCATATTTTTTCATTTAACAATAAATTGATGTGTTTTACGAGTTTGATTCAGAAGTGACAAACATACTGTGTATATTTGCAGGTTTATTAAGGAAAAGTGCTGTAATTTCTGGATTATAAGCAGCTACTTTTTTTCACACACTTAACACAGCAGCTTATACAATTACATGGCTAATTTATGGATTTTTTTAATTTAATTTTTGATGGGCTTCTGTGCTTCATGCTGCCAAACATTTAGCCTCGTCACACCCAGGTGCTCACATAGCTGCCCAATACACGTCTCTCTCAGGGAGTGGGTCCTCGTGACTCACTGAGACCACCTGTATAAATAAAGTTAAAAAATCTGACTAATTAAATTACCAAATAAGTCACAGACACTTAATTTCCTCCCATCCTCGTTCTCTCCTCCTCTCCCCCGTTGTGTCCCCAGGCAGGGGGGAAACTTTGAAACAAGTGTGAATCGTGTATTATTGTGTATTTTTCGCAGGAGGAAGGTGAAGATAGCAATGACTTCCTGGTAGGCCACTGTATTTCATTTTATTTTTTAACCATCCATGTTACAGGCACTATTCAGAGAAAAACATTTACTGTACGCATTTGTGTGTGTTACAGTACATATTTTATTAAAATGTTTTTTTTTAAAAAATCAATGTAAATATGTTACAACGTGGACACCCGCGGCTTGTAGACAAGTGCAGCGTATGTATTTACAAAAAAAGTTTTTCATTTTAAATTTAGTGGGCACGGCTTATATCCATGTGCGCTCAAAAGTCTGGAAATTACATGGAAATTACATTCATGGAGCTGAAACGTACCCTTCTTTCTCTCTTCTGACTCCTGAAAAAAATGGAGTGATTTTGCAAAAACCCCATAATCAGGGTTCAGTGAGCTTTCCTGACAGTTACCGATTAGTCCACAAAAATTTTGGAACAGGATTGAAGCACAATAAATGTCACTTCTATTTTATTCTGGGCGGCCTTTTTAATCAATGTGCTATCCTTGGATCCCTTGAAAAGATGGCGCCGGTTCTGTTTTTACAGCAAATACAGCCTGAATCAGGCCGAGGCCTCTGGGGTGGAGGTCTGGATGCTCGTCCATCACAGACACAGATTCCTGTCTTTGTACGATTAGACACCAAGAAGTACAAACAAATACCAAGGTTCTGTATTTAAGTTTAATACCCCTTTCTGTTTATTTTGTTGCTAACCTTAAGGCGGGAAAAACTGCACTTTCTGCAAAAATGCACCGAGATCGCCAAGTGCAGAATGACTGATGAACTTTGCTGAAGAAGCTGAAATTGAGTAGCTAAAGATAAAACAAGCAAAACACTAAAAACAAAAAGGTGCAAAATGCAAGCTAAAAACACTTGCTAAAAGGTAAAGTAGCAAGACACTAGCAAAAATAAAAAAACAACCCTGTTACTAAAAGCTGCAATTACAGTAAATGCAAAAAGAGCTAAATTGCCAGTTAAATAGCTAAATTTCCTAGTAACAAAACATTAGTAAAGTAGAAAAACATCAAAATGCTAATAACTAACAGCTAAAAGCAGCAAAGACAACAGATCAAATACACTCAAGTAGATTTTAAAAAGTACAGTGAATTTGAAGGAATGAAAAAAATGTAGCAAGAGCGATTTTATTAATTGATATAAAAATGTTATAGACGTTGCTAAAAACAAAAAAAGTCTTGAATGTAGTAGTGTCCCACTACAGATGCTGGCATATGCATCTAGTCTGATACCAGCTTCAAGTACTTGTACTCACACAAAAAAATACAGATAGTTCAGAATGATACTACTTTTATGCTTAGGGACATCATTTCCTCTTTTACTTTGTACGTAACTGAGGACAAAATATAAAAAATGTCTGTAAAATAGAAACATTTTAAGGTAAACACAGATGATATTAAGACAGAAGACCGTTGTGTTCTTAACAAAAGAAAAAAGAACTTCTAAAGTCATCATATAATGTTTAAGTAATAACTCATTAACTACTTGGTATTGGTACTCAGTAAGTACTTGGTACTTGACAAGTAGCCAAAATCAAGTACTTGTTAGTATGAAAAAAAAAATGTATCTGGATACCTGTACTTGAATGAGCTGAATGTTTTGACATTTTACCTGTTAAGAGCACAAAATTTACTTAAATAGTAACATGTAAAAAAAGGTATAGAAGAAAAGAAATAACGGGAAACAGGATCACCATACATGCATGTTAGGTCAATTAGAAACTTTAAATTGTACCTAGGTGTGAGTGAGAGAGTGAAGGGTTGTCTCGTTTGTCTCTATATGTCCCTGTGATGGACTTGTGACTAGGCCTGTCATGATAACAAATTTTGCTGGGTGATTAATTGTCTCAGAAATTTTTGCAATAAACAATATTATTGTCAAATTCAGGAAGAAATGTTTGTAAATTTTTGTGTGTAGTAATTTTTTTTGACCACTGGATGACAGTAAAAGACTGTTTGAACCGAAGGATGGATAGTGAGGGAGCGAGCAGCGTGCCTGTTTAAGAAAAATGGGAGGGAGGCCCCTTGACATGACATGGGCTGTCTCTCTTCAGTTTTCAAAATGGTGGAAGCTTGGTGTGGTTTGAGCTCTTTAGCATAGCATTTTTCACACACAGATTTTAATTTTTAAAAAGCAGTAAACAAGTTCTCAGCTTCTTTTTGCAGAGAAAAACAACTTTTTAGACGAAGGCACGGGTTTCAACCGTGAATTTTGGAGCTTCGACAAGACAGAGGTTTTTCTCCCCCCCGAGGTCGTCGGCCTGTTAGCTTAGCTTCTCAGCTTAGCTGCTTTTAACGATCCAAAAACGCGATTGTGGACGGTTAAAACAGATTTTAAGGAGAAAAGAGAAAGGGAGGAGTCAGTGAAGAGCACCGGAGTTGAGCCTTTTGTCATCCAGTGTCTTCAGTAGAAAGAGAGAGACACAAAGAAACGAAAAAACCTATAAATGATAACGAGGTCGATAATGTTCGTTATCATGCGATTAATTGATTTATTGTTTATCGCGACAGGGGTGTGACAGGAACACAAATACACATGAATAAAAAACACGCATGTTCCTCCATGATTGTAGTTTATTTCAGTAGACCTTCATGGCAGTAAAAGACAACACTTATAAGTTTGCAGTCCCAACATGCAGAACAATCGTTGAACTAAAGAACATAAAATAAATATTAAAAAAAGAAACGTTAAAGGTGCGTTACTGTTTTCGTTTCGTTTTTTTTTTTCCTCTTTTGCAAAGTGATGAACACTTGAGGGAGAATAAAAGCGGTACAGGTAACACTTCAGAGAACAGTTTGTGTTTTCCATTCATGCAGCCTTCACGGACAACAGAGTTTTATGTTATCTGGAACAAACGAAGCGACGGTCCAAGCCTTCTACAATGACGACATCTACATTCAGCTGTTTGGAAAGTTCTGAGTCTTCACACCGATAAGAAGCAGAGAAAACCAAAATAAAAAGAGCTGGAAAGCATAAACGCAGAAGAGCATTCCTGTACACTAAAGAGGTACGCTGCATGAAGAAATCATAAATTGAGACGAGATAATTGCAGTTATCCACAACTGTAAAGGTACATCGAGTGCATTGTGCAACACCTTCTGTTGAAGCCGCGAGTCTGAACACTTAACACACACGTACACACACACACCGCACGCTGACGGGCTCACTTTCCTCATACGGGCCATGCATCAGCACACAGAGAAATCATAAATATACCTGAAGTCGTGCAGACAGACAACATGAGCAAGCATCACTGCACGCACAACAAAAGAAACACCAAGACGCCTTCAACTCCCCGTCTCACACTCAGACACAGACATGCAGCGCAGACAGAGACGTTATACACATTAGAGGCGACGCACACGCGCATTCACACGCATACAGCACATGCAGCCTATGAACACACACACACACCTGATCTCCCATAGGGAGAAGAAAGCAACCACACGGACACCAAGTAGTCGAATATAAATAAACCAAGCTGTAACAATGTGAATATTAATAAGAACAAGACATTTCCTCGTTACGTCTTTTCCATCCTGTCAGTTTTTCCAAGGAAGAAAAATAATAATAATTTAAAGTTACAGACGGTTCATTACAAAGCCAATCAATGCAAAAAGTCATATATCTCCAATATAAAAATACAAATCCACAAAATAACTACAGAGACAAAGTAGTTTCGATACTGTCGTCGAATTTCCTGGCTAAGATTTCTTTCTCCCTTAAGCTAATGGCACTTATGTTCGAGGGATAAAAATCTCTATTTTTAAGGGAAACCCTACAGTCACTGTGAGCGTCGTCCTCTGCTGGAACGAATCAGTAATTTTAACACTGTAGGAGTGCAATACTGCGGCGGGGAGACAGTGATTTTATCTTTGTGAGTTTGCTTGAAGCACTAAACTACCGGTAGTCTTGGGTGACTCTTGAATCTTTTCAGGTAGGCACCGCTGTGATTGTGGAAACGGGGGTGATCTGTGGAATGCAGCGCCGTACTTCGGCTAACAACAAGAATGGTGCAAACGGGGACTACCGTTGGTTGCAAGAATAAAAATACTGAAAACAATTAGTTCAAAGTAAGAAAGCAAAACAGGCACGATACCCCTTTGTTTAAAATGCAACCCCAAAAAATGTAAATACCGTATTTTTCGGACTATAAGGCACACTTAAAATCCTTTCTTTTTTCTCAAAAATCATCCGTGAGCCTCATGTATTAATTCTGGTTGTGCTGACCTCGAAACGATTTTATAATAATACTTTATTTGCGTAGCAGTTTTTAAACTAATGTTACAAAGTGCTTCACATTAATCAATTAAAACAACATCATAAATGACACCAGAAACACAAAAGTATACCAAATCAATTAAAATGCATAAAAATATAAGAAAAAAATGAAAATAAAAATATGAAGAAATTCAGATATTAAAAGCCTTATTATATAAGTTTTAACTAATGATTTAAAAGACGACAATGAACAGGTCTGTCTAATATTTAGAGGAATAGCATTCCACAAATTAGGAGCCCTTTACTTTTATGTGGTTATTGTGAATGAGTTGAATAACTTATCGACTTATCTGACCGTTTTGTTTTGCTTAATGCGCCTTATAGTCCGAAAAATACGGTAACGCGTTTTAAAAGAATGAACGATGAAAGCATGAGCAAATGTAAGGCTTTACACAAGAGACGCTTACATCAGAGCACACACACACAAAAAAAAGTTACAAACATTTGCTCGGGAGTGGTCTGTCCAGCGTGGGAATACGTTTAGTTGCATACACGTTGAAGTTTTCCCAATTCACAAGTGCTTGGACGATTGCAACGACGACTGCTCTTTGGCAATCTTTGACGTCTCCGATTTCTTTAAACTGCCCGTAGTCTGGTGTTTTGAACGTTTACAGTGTTTAGGAGTGATTTCATACAACGGTTTTAGGCTTTGTGGCTCAGTGCTAAAAGCTGTCATTCAATAGTAAGGAGAGGTTCGCTCCGACAAGCCGAGCGAGAACAGTGAAGAACTTCAGACCACAGAATGTAAAGAACGCACAGTGCTCCTCGTTTCTGCTGGACAAACAAATACAGCTGACAGTGAACACGTTTTGTTTCGTGTCTTCCATTCCCCCTTCACGGTTATTATTTTTATATATACTCTCTTTCTTCATGCCATCTTATGTCCATAACTTCCTTTAGTGAGGGAGGTGTACACTCGCAGCGTTTATCACCAGTGGAAGCAGCAGCTGTGGCTCCAAAGTGTTCGGACGGGCGGCTCACCACTCGCTGGTCCTCTGTTTGGTCGTGTCGTACGCTCTGATGACCTCAGACTGGGACACCACTCCGTTCTCATCTTGAGAAAAGGCGTAGCCGTCTGAAAGTGAAGTGAAGCGGTTAAAACGCGCCGCTACGTCAAAGATAAATGCACGAACACACCAGAAACTGTTTAAAAACGATTAACAAATGAACTCAATCAAAAAAAAAAAAAAAAAAAAGTTTGGGAAATAAGCTTCGTCTTTGTCAAAAATCAGAAAGTTTCACGTCTGTCGGGCAAACGTGAGAATATGAATCAATTTAAAACACGAGGCGTTGATCTGAACTAAACGAGGACGCTCGTCTGCTGTTCACCTTTATTTTTAAAGAAATACGTCGATTTCCACAGCACGCTTTTCAAATCACGCCCCACCTCATGCGCGTTGTGCAGATTCTCGTTCACTTGCATCTCACGCTGTGAAATCGTATCTGCAGCAGCAAATCGCCCACTGTGAAGTTTCCACGTGTGAACAGAGACTCCAGAAGAAGTCCAGAGCGACTTGTTCGCACATGAGAACAGTTAAGAGTCAAATCAAAGAGCAGGAATTTCACAAGATTTATTAGGAAAATATTGAACTTGTTCAACTTGTCAGAATTATGGATGGACACAAACTGTTGAGTAGTTAGATGTGCACAAACCCCGCCTCCCCAACAAAAAACGTGTTTTTGTTGTGATGATATAACAGAATATAATAATGCTGCTCGATGACTGAAGAGCTCTGCAGCCGACTGTGGTAGTCATTTAAGTAGCTAAAGTTCATCTTCCTCTTTCATCACCATTTCAGGAGCTCTTCTTCTTCCGTATCTTCTGGCTCAATCATCTAAACCGATGTTTATTGATTAAAACGTTCAAAGTTCATGCTCAATAATCCAGGTAAAATATCTAACAAAGTTAAGTCAGGGCCTCTGGACAGTTTCTTTGTGTTGAAACGTTTCGTCCTTCATCCATAGGACTTCATCAGTCCAAGGAGCCACAACAAACTGAGTCCCACAATCAGTCACATAATGGACCAACCAGTTTGCTGGTGATAAGATGGTTTCAGGAGTCCACCCTCTCCCCTGTCAAATCCTCTGAGGCAGCCATGGCCAAAGTGGTTCAAAACAAAAACTGATGAAGTCCTTTGGATGAAGAACAAAACGTTTCAACACAAAGGAATCGTTCAGAGGACATGACTTAACTTTGTTTTGTTTTTTTACCTGTATTATTGAGCATGAACTTTGATGTTTTGAACCATTATGGTCATGGCTGCCTCAGGGGAGTCGATGGGGGAGAGGGCGGACTCCAAAAACCATCTTATCACCATCAAACTGGTTGGTCCACTATGTGAGTGTGCTGCCTGTGGGATTGAGTTTGTTGTGGCTCCTTGGACTGATAAAGTCCTTTGGATGAAGGACGAAACACTTCATCAAAATTAAAAAAAATAACCGTCCAGAGGACTTGACTGAACTCTGTTGGACTTTTTTTTTACCTGGATTATTGAGCATGAACGTTCATGTTTTGAACCACTTTGGCCATTATGAACTTTGGCCATCTGGATAGATTAAAAGTATTTCTTTTTGTAAACACAAACTAACGGGACCTGACGCCCCAAAAACAGACACTGAGCTGAACGGAAGCATTAGAAAAAGAAAAAAAAAAAGGCAAAAATAACTAAAAAGAATCAGAGTAGATTTCTGTCAGGATGGCTTTTGAGCAGCAAAAAGAAAATGCTGTTGTTGGTTTTTTAATAACAGATGAGTAAAAGTATTTTTCAAGTAGTAAAAAGCTGATTTCCCAGAGATTTTCAGTAAAAACAAAACAACAAACAAATTGAGTCTAAAACACAAACACAGCAATCAGCTTCCCCATGAGGTTTATCTGCAGAGTAAAAGCTGCTCTATCAGCTACACCTACACTCTCCCACAGGGTCTCACTTGACCTCTGACCCCTGACTCACCTTTAGGTGTCAAATGACTCGCTCAGTAGTTGGAGGCCAGCGGGCATGTTCAAAGGACCCCGCTGACATGAGTGCATTGTGGGAAAATAACATTTCGTCATTTCATGGTTATCTGGCTCGACTGAGCTGAACTCAGGACACACGGAGACACACGGAGACACACAGAGACACACGGAGACACACGAGGACAAAGAACAGGAAGTAAAACTATAAAGACGGAATGGAGGGTGGCGTCTATCAGGCAGCTACAGAGGAGCTGAGATTAAAGCAGGATTATGTTTGAATAATGAGTTATAAAAAGTTTCACACAACAACAATCCCATCCCAATTTACGAGACAAATATAAACAAACTGATCAGACAAATGACACACACACACACAAAAATAAAAATAAAACAGAAAAACTAAACCCATGCTACTTATTGGGTAGTTTTAACATGTCAGCTAAGACTGGACCTTTTCTAAATCAAAAGTAAATGGGCTTTAATCTGAATGAATTCAGGCTCCACTGGAAGTAATTTCTCTCCTACTTAATGCTGAGCCTTCTTCTCTATAATTTAAATCCAGATTTGTGGGAAACAAACGTTAGATCTGCTTAATTTATACAGAACAAAGAAAAACTGTTTAATAATCTCATAAAAACTCGACAAACCTATCTGCAGGAGCCAACCTGATTACAGATGTGCTGTAAAAGGTTAATGTCTGAGGAGAGGGGTTGTAAGCTCAGTTTGCAGCACGTAGCTCCATTTTTATAATCAAACAAGAAGTGTGACGAGTTGACTGTTACAGTTCCTCTACAGAGACGAACAGTTTTATGAATTGGGCTGTTTTTTTTAGGAAACAGGGCAGCCTCTCGCTGATAACACTGACATTTTTGTCAGTATGTTTTTCATTTACATTGTATAACTAATTGCTTAATCTATATATCATATTTAACAAACATTATAATCGCTTGTGCATTTAAAAATAATAAAGAGAAGAACTTTTTACTTAAAAAAAAAATCTTAATTGTGGGCTACAGTAAGCTGCTGCTTCAGTTTCCTGCTTGGTGTTGAAATAAGAATGTAAAGGCATGACCAATTGCAGATCGTTTTAAAATGATCCAATACCGGCAGAAATATCGGCCTATTTCAATACATGACGTACTCTGGAGAAACAAAAATGTTGTCTCTGAAACTATGCCTCTGATTTGGGATAGAATGGGTTTCTGTTGTTCAAAGAATAACCTACTGCCTTCACTTTGAGGGGTAAAAAGTAATAAAAACAACAGAAAAATGGTTATGTTTTAGAT